ATAGAATTAAATGTTGAGAAATGCAATAATGCACACTCATACTGTCCATTTAGTTGTAACGTATTAGGATAGTACGTAGACAAGGTGGACGAGTTTCCGGTTATCGATAAAGTGAGTGACATCTTGTAAATGATTGAAATGAAAGAAACACATTAATTTTATACGTCTTTATTCCAAAATTCCCATAGATATTCTAAACATAAGTGACCACAATTTACTGTGTTAAACTTTTGATATCTTGTATAGTTGTAATAAACAGCACAATTTTTAAAATATCGCATTAATTCGTTTGGAGGTTTCAAGTCACCATAACTATCAAAGTATTCACAATAGTCGGCTACTTTAACATAAGCTACCCAATGCGTTCCTTCATTTTTAGAGTCATCCAAGTTAACAATACCACATTCAATCTGTTTTGGTTTTTTTGGTAATTGGTCCTTCATGAATACTCCTCGAAAGTGTGGGATGTCTCGTGCATGTTCTTGGATGTCGATATTAGTCAGTGGGCGATTAGGTAGCTTCTTTATCAGTTTTTTTGATGTTCTATGAATAATCCTTTACCATTTTTATGCGGTTTAATGTATAAACCCTTACCCAATGCTAAAGCCTCCATAGTCTTATTATGACGTTCTGTTTCTCGCAAATTTTGTTGAGCTGCTTTGTAATCATTAACGGTTTTAGCAATACCCGCTGCACCACCAGCCAGAGTGCCCAAAGCTGATAAGCCAGCAAAGATTGGAATTAAAGGCAAAATACCTCCAGTTTTCGGTATGGGTATGATGCGAGGTACTCGAATTTTCTGAATTTTTGGATATATCTTTTTTGCTGCTAAGTAAGCAGCATTAATTAAAGCTTTACTATCTTTGTGTTTAATTTTCTTAATTTTTGATTTAATTTTTGATATAAAACTGTGAAACGTTTTAACTCCGGCACCTGACTTTAGTTTGGCTTTCATGACTTTGCTTACTAGCCATGAACTAAGTTTTTCACCTTTCCCAGCATCCTTTGATTTAAGTCTTTGTTTTGCCATATTCATTAGTTGTAAATCAGCTTTATGACGATGAGATAAGTCTGTGTGGTTAGCGTATGCAATGTCGTGGTGCATACAAGCTTCATCCAACTTATTAATACCTCGATCACCGCGTAATAACCGTTTCTGGAGTTTTGTTCCTGGTCCGCAATAATTATAACCAGGCAAATGAAGCTCGAATGGTAAATTTTCTATTAAACTATTAACTAGTCCACCACCTTGCATTGTACAAAGCGCAATGGATGAATGTTCAAAAAGAATTGATTATATACTTAATAACTCAATCCAATAAGGCAGCTTTGTCAATCCAACTATTTTCGTTATTGCTAAGACCCAACCATTTCACGTAAAGTTTTCTTCCTTTCTTTTTTAAAATTTTCTATCAAATAAACACCAGGATAGTTAGATTTTTGAAGTTCTTGTTCATAAAAGGTTCCTAATATAGCTTGTTTACGTTGATCTTGTATATGATATGTCACCGGTATTGTATTATTAATCTTTTACAGTAAAAAGTTCTGTTGACCAATTAGGAGTATAACCTTTCTCAAAATTGTGTTTGTATTTGCTGATACGAACATAATCACCAATTTTAAACTTAGGTTTACATGGAGCAGATACATGTTTATGTGCTTTTAAAATATTTTCTTTTATTACTCGCTCATTAGACTTGTTTACATCGATTGGTTTTAATTTAATAGTTCGATGTTTTGTGTTGTTATACGATTCCAGGGTAAGTTCTAATGGTTTACCCAACCACTTATAGTTTCCATTAAAGCTAAAATATTTGTACAATTTATTTTTTATAGTTTTAATTAGTCGCTCAACAATTGATGCCTTTTTGCTAGAAAACGAAGAGTAATGGTTAATCTTATATGTTTTCATAAGCGTTTGAAATGTGTTATTATAAAACTCTGTTCCCATATCAGTTTGTAAGTTATCTGGCTTTCGATGACTCTTAAGTAATATTCGTTCAAATGCATGAGTCACATCAAGTTTATTTTTTGATTTCAACGGCTGCATCCAAGCATATTTTGAGAAGCAATCGATTACAATTAAAATGTAATTATAGCCTCCGTTATATTTCTTTAGATTTTGCATGTCCATCAGATCAGCTTGCCACAGATCGTCGATACTTTTTAAAACAACAGAACGCCGAAGGAAATTTCTTCGTGCAGTTTTGTGTATTTCATTTACAATTTGCTGTTTTGACATGGTTTACAGTTTTTTAAGCAATTTGTCAACATCTACTTTGGTATAAAACTTATCTTCCAAATGAATTAAAGCCTCAGATGTCTTAGCTTTTAAAGTAGCTTGAACTGTCTTTTGTGCATCTAGCATGAGCTGAGAACGTAATGCACCAATTAGTTTATTCAATTCATGTATCGTATTAGCATTTAAACGATCTACGTAATCTTTGTTTACGGGCGTCGTCTCCATCCACAGGAGATCGGATCCCCTTGAGTCTTGTTGATTTCAAATCAAAATCCCCGCTTTCTGATTTTAACAACGCGTTATCATTAAATTCAAATAAATCTGATAAACGCAATCTTTTGTGAATAAAATGACCAAATTTATCTACATTCATCTTTAAAGGTGTATTGTTTTGAAAGGTCGACAGTAAAATGAAACACAGATGTTTTATGTATTTATTATATTACTTTCACGTAATTCCTCTATTATGGATATGATTTCGTTGTTTACCCCTGTGTTACCAGCATCTTGAGATGCAATTAACAATTTTAGTCGATCAACTAATTCATTAGGATCATCCCAATATATAAAATCTACATTCTTCTTCCACATTTTTGTTAAGGGTAATCCTTTCCTTTGGATTGTAAAAATAGCGGTTTAATAATTTGTAAATATTTTTGACCTTTATTACTTTTTATCGGTTTACTTGGATCATAATCTCGACGATGTGCATTTGTATCAAGTAGCATTGATTTATAATGTTGCATATCACTCTCTGTAACCAAACTCAAATCTGCATTCTTTTTCAGTAGCAACTGTTTCAATCCAGGCGTACATCGATACTTGCGGTGTGCCACTATGATATATTCGTCATTGACAATTATGTGAGCGGCACCCAACATCAACTTCCCACGCTCGTATCTGACACCAAATGGAATATCTGCTAACGCTTCTGGAGAAACTGACCAGGATGTTGTGTTACAATCTTGTTTCTTTTCAACCAGTGATTTATATGAGGAGTCACTGTCAACCTCAGAGTCATAATCGTCTGTATCATTGCTTTCTTTCTCACTGAGAACTTCTTTCCTCAAAGTATTATCAATATATGGAACTTCGATGTCTTCATCTTCAATATTTTGTGGAGCAGATTGTTTGGTGACATTGGCAATTAAATTTAAGGGATCTGTTACAGGCTTGAAAACTGATTCCAGCGCTTCTTTATTGTTTATTTCAATATCCTTCATTTTACGTACTTTTTTCTTCACGGCTTCTGTCGCTTCAACAATTTGTCTTTTTAAAGATTTTTCCATATTGTTTAAATAGATCGTGATTGATTAAGTATTCCAAGTAGAATAATTAGAAACACTAAGGTAACGGATTTAAATAGCAATTTAATCAAAAACTACAAAGGTGTCAAATTTATTTCTATAACAGCCTTTATTTTTAGAGCAATCTTTATTAATGACAACAAAATTAAAGGGATCGTTCCATATTTTTGAACACATTTCACGAAATTCAACCCATGACATATCAGTGTTGACATGTTCTTCGTATATGTGCTTCAAATTAATTTCATCTTGTTTAAAAAGTATGATCAAATTGGCATTGTCTCTTATTAATTGTTTAGGAATTTTGCTATACGTTTGATTTAAATAAAAACAATCGATAAATTTATGTCTTCCCATTGCAAAGTAATCACGCATGTTGTTTTGATTTTCACAAGCAACATCATCAAATATAATCACAGAGTCAGGTTTTGCGTCCTGAACTCTTAGTATTTCTTCGTGTTCCTGATATTTTTGAAACGAAATACCTGGTACGCGTCGTAATACTTTTTCTAAAAATATGTACTTGGGTTGGTACAAGGTTTTTGAATAAATATAAACATTTCGAAATCTTAAACCATTTTCGTGTATAAGTAGACTAATGAGTAAATTTGTTTTTCCACAATTTGACGGTCCGCAAATTATACAGCGTACTGAATTAGGTAATAATTTACTGTGACGGAAATCAGTTTTACAAAATTCATCACATATTATGTTAATATTCAACGATTGTGGTTGTTTTACAAATTTCATGCTTACTGTGTGAAACAGTTCGAATAACAATGACAAATATTTTTTGTATGTTAATATTTATAAACCGTACGACTATGTATTTTGCGTTACTAGCATTAACCGAATCGACCGTTGACGATTGAGCATTCTGGACCATATCGATTATTGGGCGTTCTATACCACTATCGGCAGCGAGGCGCACTCGCCGAGCGACTTGCCGATAGTGGTATAGAATGCCCAATAATATACTACTCATCACGCCTTTTATCCCCGAAGGGGTAGGCAGAGGTGCACATTACGGCACTTAATGCCACTGTACTTTTAACACCCACTTTTCACTATTTATGTTATGAGTCCCATGTAATAGGGGGTGAGCCTATTGCCATATACCGGGCACAATTCCAGACTCCGTGCTACTACTGAGATTTTTTTTAATACCCAGTTATACTTTGCCCGACCAGGGACTCGAACCCGAGACCCCTTGCCCGGCAGTCGCACTTGCGACCACTCGCCACTTGCCAGGCAGTCCAGTGCAGCAGTGATAGAAGGTACCAGATAGATAAAGAAGTTCATAACAAAATGAAATCTGATTGAGGAAATTGAGAAAGAAGACAATTAGGCACGCTGGCCACAAATAACTTGAAATAAGAGAAGAAAGCAGAAGACATAGAATCACAGTTAAAGCTGATTTGTCTGTAAAACTTCATTTTCTCTGTTACAGAATGTATTGGCCGCTGTACTTAATAGGCGGCGCACTGGTAGCCCTCTGGTTGCTATGGAGATACAAGAACAGAAGGATGATACAGATGGGCAATAAGATGCCAGGTCCACCCACGATACCACTCTTGGGGAATGCGCTGATGTTCATGTGCCAGCCAGAAGGTAAGATCAGGAATATTACCACCCACATATACTTTTAGGGGGAACATCAACCAATGGCTTCAACCCGCCCGAGTGAGGCGAGAGGGAGTGTCAGACTCTTACTGACTAAAAACTACCCCGTTCCTACTCCTAAACTTCAAACCGGAGCCCCGGCAACCCGTTAAGTTCTCCGCGACTCCGTATCGGCATCAGCTCTATTGGGCCCCATCTATGGTGGTCTGATGGCTCCTTGAGGTGCGCGTGGAAAGCGACACGCCGTACGGTCGGTCTAATCGGTCTAATCTAGTGCAGCTACCCGAGCTCATCTGACCCAAGCTGGTCATGGACACGAATCAGAATAATCCTATTTGGATTTCCTTTACTTTTTTATTTACATTCATCAGGTTTAATCGTAGATAATGGTATTTACTCTTAAAGGATTCTATCGCTACTTTCCTTCTCCTTCCACTCCTCTTCATAAAACTAGTTTTCTGCGATCAATCCTGATTAAAGGTGTCGAGTTCGTCTCATCATCTCCTTCTGGGCCTACTGTGATATATATTGACATTGAGCTGGCCCCACTCAGTAGTGAGGTTTACCTAATGTTCGTCAGATGTCCGCCGACGTTGCTTAGATAAAAATTTACAAAAGGATCTATGTAGATACTCACCTCAAATACTAAAAAGCACTACTTATTAAGGTACTTTAGGTACTTGGAAAATCCGGAACTAAATACCGAAAGAAACCATAATAAAGTTCAGATCTATAATATCCAGGCAACAAATAATTAACTCGTTGGTTCCTTGTAATTAAACATTACTGGAATGTCTATTTTCCTTATATCATGGTCAATCTAGGCTAGTGCAGGAAATTACGACGTAATTATCTAGATTCTAGTCTAAGCTATCATTTTCTATAACCTCTGGCCTGAATACGTAGGTAACAATAAAACTACTCAGTACACTACACAACAGACAACATTAGATATCTTACGCCCCAAGGGTACTATGTAAAGGTTTGTTATTATTACGCAGTACTTATGCCCTCTTTTCGTCGCCTATCTGGGGACACAGCAGTGCCCCCGCTAAGTCAAGCACGAAGCAAATACTGTCGTACTTAGAACACATTAGTAGCCCTTGATGGAAAACAGTTGCCGCAGTCTTGAATATAAAAATCATCGCAATTTAAAAATAGGATTTTTTTTTAGAATCAGCAATGCACGGGTCTATGAAGACACCTCATCATCAACAGTCATTAAATGCCCACTGCTGAGCAAAGCCTCTTCTCACACGGAGAAGGTTTGAGCATTAATCACCATGCTTGCTCAATGCGGGTTGGCCATTTCAAACTTATAATTAGGTAGTCCCGGTTTCCTCACGATGTTTTCCTCCACCGTGTCAGTGGTGTTTAAATAATCTTAGAAAGTACATATAACTCGGAAAAGGCCCCTTTGGTATTTGCCGTTGGTATGTTTCGACCCAGCACCCTCATTCATGAGAAGCGGGCGTCTTAAACCTCCGGGCCACCACGACATTGAAGACACCTACATATCTTTAATATTTATTTACCAGGACCATATCGAAATTCTTTTTATGAATAACCCATGAAGGCAGTTTGTTATGTACTGGAACACATCCAGAAGTCTTCATTCACCATATCTTGTGTTTCAGCTTTTATCAAAGTACTAAAGGATTTGATGGCAGAATACGGGAATGTGACGAGATTCTGGCTCGGTCCTGATCTGAACATCGTTGTCAGTAATCCTGATGACATAAAGGTAATTACCGTTTTTTTTAAATCCTGATCTGTGTTATTGAAGAAAAGGGGTCCCCTTTTAATGAATGTATTACAAAGGAAGGTTATAAACTCGTAGGTACACACACATATACAATAACAACTCAAAAAGTAACGAATGAAGTTTCTTGCTCGTTCTTCTCGATTCGAATTTACATTTTGAATGAACACCTAGCTTCACTGACCGACAAACTGACAGACTATTATTTATTTTGTATTTGTTGACGTTTCAAAAATACCACAACTTTTATTTTTTTTTAAAACCGTTGCCCCACACTAAGATTTTCTCCTGTATCATGGGTGCGTTTACAAACATACAAGTTCACATACACATGACACCCGGACCCGGAACAACAATCTGTGTATGACAAAAAGAGTTGTTCCGCGCGGGAATCGAAACGTGACACGTTGCGCGGCAGCCAGTTGCCCAGCCACCGCGATACCCGTGCCATCAATACTAATTGAAATAAAAGCTTTGACTTTGATTCCAAGACCAAGGGCACCGTTGGTAGAGACTACACAGACTATTGAATAATGTAGAAACCAGTAGACCGAACAAAAAAACACCGAGATGTGAGATGAAAAAATTAGGACTTAGACGAGTAGAGGTTACCGGCTCGACGTGCAGGAGAAGGAACAGGGTAGTTTTTAGTCAGTAAGAGACTGACACTAATGGTGGAAGCAGTCATTTGATAATTTTCCCCCCTTAAAAAAAAGACGAGTAGAGAAGCGTCCCTAATAAAATTAATTCCTTTTTTTATTCCAGCTACTACTGTCAAATACAAATACCAGTATCAAAGGGCCGCAATACAAGTACATGGCTGATGTCCTTGGAGGGGGAATACTGAGTGGATCAGGTAAATAACTATATTTAACTTAACTTGCTTTTGGTTTATATGATTCTCGGATATTATAGAAAAACAAATAAACAGGAGTTCCTGAAAATGAACTACTCGTTATGTTGATTCGTAAAAACACTAGGTAATAGGGAGGGTTTATGGTTTAAATTTTTCAGGTTCTTGTCTGTATTAAGGACAAGATAGATACTGGTTTAAGAGTAACAACGTCCACTCCCCTAAATAAATATATTACGTTTTAAGGCCCAACATGGAGACGTCACAGAAAGATAGCGAACCCCAACTACGGTAAGAGAGCCATTGAAGGATACAGCGAGGTGTTCAACCAAGAAGTGGATCTCTTGCTGAAGAAGTTCAGATCTATGCCTAGAGAACAGTTCAATGTCTACGACCATGTTGTTAGGACCACAAGCTATGCAGTTTGTCGTGAGTAAATGTTTCTTTTTCTAAATACTTTTTTTTAAGGGACAAGCCGCCACGACCTCCCAAAACCGCTGCCACTCCTGTAAGCCAGGATCTACAGTAGATACAACCATGAAAACACTGGAACACTGAAGTCCGGCGCGTCCCAGGGATATAAATAACTGTCTTGGTTCCCGCAACGAAGTGAATCAGAAGATACTATAAGAGGAGAAGACAAAAAACGATTGTTTCGAACGAGAAAGAGTGAATTAAGCCTAAAGGCACACAAAAAGAGACATTACGACTGGGTGAAGCCCAGTCGCCAAGTTTCTAAATTTTTACTGCAAAATTCGTATACCAGTAGATACACCCTCAAAAGGTGCAAAATGAATTTTAAACTTGGACAATTTATGGCACCACCATCCAGCTAACCTGGACCCACTTCAACTTATGTCTTTATTTCCAAAGTCACAATTAAACAAAACAACGTTAACCAAAGACATTAGACAACACGGTTAGAGCGGTGGCTGGGCAACCGGCTGCCGCGCAACGTCTCGCGGGTTCGATTCCCGCACGGAGCAACTCTTTGTGTGATCCACAGATTGTTGTTCCGGGTCTGGGTGTCATGTATATGTGAACTTGTATGTTTGTAAACGCACCGACGACACAGGAGAAAATCCTAGTATGGGGCAACGGTTTTTTAAAGATAAAGAAAAAGTCAAAGTCTCCGAATGGTCATAGATTCCCAAAATGCTTATAATACCCCTCTATTAAACTTCTTATAATGGCAAATAATTTCATTTACAGGAACACTGATGGGTTTGACAAAAGACCAGACGATGAAGTTACCACACATTGAAGAACTGATTGACACGAGTCCATGGTAATCAATCTTTATAATAATACAATAAATTAAATGAGGAAATAACTTAAAAAAAGAAAAAAAGCATAAAAGCGAATTGAGAACCTGCTCCTTTTTTGAATTTGGAAGTCGGTTAAAAACGAACAAAATTAAGTTGCTTGAGGGCCGATTTATCAAATGCCACATAAATTTTAACTGAGAAATGACTTTGAATTCTTCTCACTTCTTACTTAAACCTATAAAATGTCAATTTTATTCTACAGTTATAAAATTAACTGATGATTTGAAAATCGGCTATAAGTTAATTAAGTTTTCCAGCAGTTCTCAATTTTCCACTACCAAAATGATTGGCCAAACGTTAATACATATTAGGTATTCTTAAACCCGGAAGAAACATCGTTTGTATCGTAAAACTATTTACCATAAAATAAAGTACAGCACTAACCATGTAAGAATGGCGGGTCATTATTTAATTAACTGTATATTTAATTACCTTTAACCACTCTAAAAGAGATCACGACTTCTTTGTATTCAATTAGCTAAGAATGATAATAATAGTGTAAGGACTAAGGGTGAATAATTATAGATACAAAATTATAAAAACAGCTGTTTTATGTCCTAGTTAATTATTATTAATAACCTATGCGTAGATTAAACTGGTCGCAACTTGTCAATTTGCTAGTTTAACGCAATGATGTCTCCAATAATAAAAACAACATTGCTTCTTATTGATTCGTCATCAAACATCAACAGCTTATAAATGCCCACTGCTGAGCAAAGCCTCTTCTCACATGGAGAAGGTTAGAGCAATAATCACCACGCTTGCTCAATGCGGGTTGACGATTTCAAACTTATAATTAGAAATTATAAGCCCAGGTTTCCTCACGATGTTTTCCTTCACCGTTGGTCAGTGGTGTCTAAATAATCTTAGAAAGTACATTTGACTCGGAAAAAGTCACATTGGTACTTGCCGGTTGGTAAGTTTCGAACCTGCACCCTCGTGCATGAGAAGCAGGTGTCTTCAACCTCCGGGCCACCACGACACAAAAACTATACTATTGATTCGTAATTTACATAGATTCTAGGTTTAAATCCGACGCGAAAGTATTATCTGAAAAGACTATGCCCAATTTTTGTAGGAATCTGATATTTTCAGTTGGTGAGATTCTCATAGGCCAAACTTCGTAGTTCCAAAGTAAACTCCATAATATTATGTCGGGACACGTAGCAAAAGAATTTGAGAGCCATGCTTCGGCACGAATGGACCGGCTCGACCGGAGTGAGACCACGGCCTCACAGAAATCCAACGTTAAGCAACGCTTGCGTTGAGTTTCGTCGAGTTGTGAGGTTACCGGAGGTCCAATTACTCTCCCCTTCCCCAATCTCCCCGATCCCCAACTATCCTCAAACTCCTGATCCCTAAAAGGCCTGTAACGCACTTGTAACGCCTCTGGTGTTCCAGGTGTCCATGGGCGATGCCGATTGCTTACCATTAGGTGATCCGTCTGCACGTTTACCGGTTTATGCCATAAAAAAAGAGAGAACTCGGATAGTTTCTAGACAGCTGCTATTTCCATCCCAACTCCATACTCCCAAAATGACGAAGATTCATTAAAAACCTTTTCTATTCCAGCCTTTACGACATAGTATTTCGTAGGATGACAAAATGGTACCTGCAAATCGATCCCGTTTTCTGGATGACCAGTGACCATTACTATCAGAAAAACTTTGTAAAAATGATGACGGACTTTTGTGAAGTCATTCTGCAGCACAGGACGGAAAGTCTGAAGACTTTGGAGGACAGTAAGAGGGATCTGATGAACTCTGAAGATGATTCAAGTGTTAATACTGAACTCAGTGTTATCGATAGGTTCCTACTCTCCCAGGAGCTTGATAAAGATGAGCTGGTACAAGAGACCTTTACTATATTTACTTCGGTAAGTTGTTATTTAAGGCATTTTACGATTTGGCAGTCGATGAAACCGTTCAAAGTCGAGGTTCTGAGCAAAGATGACTTTCACCAAGAGAGAAAACATTGACCACCATTATATCTGCTTAACACATGCCATGGGGGTCTCCGGTGACCGACGATAGCGGGGGATTTGCGTTCAACAATTTTCTATTGGCAGTCAATACCAACTGTCAAACACCGCAAGGACACCGGTGACCGCAACCTATTGTTCTTTAATTGTGTTTATAATGACGGTACTCAAACATTTTTCTATTTTAAGGGTTTAAAGGGAAAAATTTTAATGTTTTTATAATAACTGTCGTGAGACACACTAAATTAACTAAAAATCGCGGGCTACTCACGTGAATATACTGAGAAAAGCTCTACTAGTTTTGAACACTAGGGTTCTTCCTCATGAGTAGCAACACCGATGCGAGCACCAATGCTAGCCAGTAGGGTGAACGACATCGCCGCGACAGCGCACGCTGCTCATGAGTATGAAACCCTTTGTGGTTCGAAACTAGTAGAGCCTTTCTCATAACCACGTGAGTAAGTCGCGATTTTTAGTTAAGAAAGTACCTAAATACTTAATACTTTAACAGCTTTACAAGTGCCATATCTCTTATAGTAAAGTTTTTAAAAGAAAATCATTCTCATTCCAGAGTCAAGAGGCTACAGCAAAAATATCGTCTTACATCCTCCTTATGATGGCTTATCACCCAAAATGTCAGGTAAGAACTGGAATTCTTTATTTCTATTAAAATGTCGTCTTAGAATTGCTTTTTGATCGGTAAACTGGGCCATAATAAAATGCTGTTATTAGTTTGCCATCACCCTGACTCCTCCCGCGGGTGACTATGGCTAAGTGACTACATATTAAGAGACCGCTGCTACTCAGAGCAGCGGTGTCTAATATACCAGAGTGGCGGTCTTATTGGTTGGTTCACTGGAACTGGCCAATCAGAGCGCCGAACGCACTCGATATTATTACGTTACGAATGCGATAGTTATTGGTGCTTGGCACTCCTTTCAAACTGCGAATTCCAAGTCGCCAGACGTGGAGGTGATGACTAGGCTTGTAGTTCAGCAGTGGACACACACATAAAATCACGCTTTTTATCCCCGAAGGGGTAGGCAGACGTGCATATTATGCCACTTTATAACGTAACACCCACTTTTCACTATTTATGTTATGATTCCCATGTAATAGGGGGTGAGCCTATTGCCATATTACTGGGCACAATTCCAGACTCCGTGCTACTACTGAGAATTTTTATAGACCCAGTAATACTTTGCCCGACCCGAGAATCGTATCAGAGACCCCTTGCCCGGCAGTCGCACTTGCGACCACTCGGCCAACGAGGCAGTCAATTCAGCAGTGGACTTGATCTATATTTATACCTTTTCTAATTTACAGGAGAAACTCTTTGCAGAAATAAAGAATATTATCGGTAATGAGGATAGATATGTCACGGATGATGATTTAAAACGAATGCCGTACTTAGAGATGGTGTTCAAAGAAGTGCTGAGACTGTACCCCATAGGCGCTATGTTGCAGAGAACTGTCAACGAAGATATTGCTATTAGTAAGTTTGATATTTAAAGAGCTCTTGGCTCAGTAGAATATGTGATTCAAAAGTCAAAAGTCAGTTTTGCCATCACTTGAAACTGCTTTAAGGTTGGCAGTAACTGTAAGTTAGAGGTTCTAAAACATTTTTGGGACTCCAATCAACGATCAGCTATAAGAACAGTCTCCGTATTATCCAATGACCAATGAGATAGATATTGTGTTTAATTCCACACTGGTGCCATTAATACGTGACGTCGATGTTTAATTAATTCATCCGACAAATGACATAACCTAATTTGGGTATTCGCCAAATAGTCAAGTCAAATTCAAAACTTTTTTCGAACTGTCACAAACGATAGTTTTCTATGAATTTTAATACGAGATTGTGTATTGTGACGTCACGTTTTTTTAGCGTCAAACTACTTTTACTTAAATCTTAAAAATTTGCTGGACAATACTAAAATTAAGTTACAGTAAACAAATAAATTAATGACAGTGTGATTATTTTTTAATATTTCATTGTATAGAACAGTCGAAATAATTTATTTTTGATTAAGGATACCCAATTATCAAGTCCAAGAATGTTACGAACTACTACCTATCTAACCGTCTTAATGGTTACATTTACCGACCTAAAATAATTGAAATTAACAGAATATTACCTATATTCTGTATATCTTACTGATCAAAATACTATCCTTAAATGATTTCAGGTAACTACACATTACCAGCTGGTTGTTCTTTCGTGGCGCCAATATTCCACTTACACAGGGACCCTCGATTCTGGACTGAACCAGATCGCTTCGACCCAGAGCGGTTCAACCCTGAAAATGTGAAAACACGCAACCCTAATGCTTACATACCATTCAGTTTGGGACAGATGGACTGCTTAGGTAAGTGTGTATGGAATAAGCCGGTAAAAGGATAGAGGGATCACCTGATGGAAAGCAATGGACGCCCATGGACATTCGAAACACCAGTGGTGTTACAAGTGTATTACCGTCCTTATGAGAATTAGAAATTATAGGATTGATGGAGATTGGGAAGGGGTTAATTAGGCCTCCGGGAACCTCACCTACATGACGAAACACAACGCGAGTAGTTTCACATTGATTTTCTGTGAGGCCTTGGTACTCCGGTCGAGTCGGCCCATTCGCGCCGAAGCATGGGCTCTCCCACATTTCAATTATATCATGAATACTAATCACAATGTATTAAAGGTGTTGTACCTTATCTTATAAAAAATGCCCTTTATATGGCTCTTTCCATAACTGACTATTCAGAACAAGGCTAGCTCATTTAACCTAGATAGGTAACTAGTACCTACAAGCATATTTGTACCTTTATAAGGTCGTCTGTCTGTATCTAATATCTCTACATAGCTAAAACTAAATAAGAATAGGGAATTCCACAACTAAATACATTTTATTTGCATGATGATTCAAGCAAATATATTACCTACAAGCTTTTACTTGCGGCCTCGCTCGCGTCACAAAAAGATAAAAAGTAGCCTATGTGACATATACCAATACATACAGCGCCATCTATACCAATACTTTTGTTTTCCCTTGGGAATGTCAATTTTTTCCGGGAAGAAGAAGTACCCTATTATTTAATCCGGACGTCTAACTATACGTCTGCAAAAATTCAAAGCAATCAGTTTAGTAGTTACGGCGTGAAAGCGGAACAAACAAACAAATAAACAAACTCACTTTCCGATTTATAATATTACTAGCTGTTACCCGCGGCTTCGCTCGCGTCACAAAAAAATAAAAAGTAGCCTATGTGACATATACTAATACACACAGCGCCATCTATACCAATACTTTTGTTTTTCCTCGGGAATATCAATTTTTTCCGGGTTAAAAAGTACCCTATTATTTAATCCGGACTTCTAACTTTACGTCTGCAAAAATTCTAAGCAATCGGTTGAGTAGTTACGGCGTGAAGGTGGAACAAACAAACAAACTCACTTTCAGATTTATAATATTAGTAAGGATAAGGATTAAGAATATTAAGAATAAGGATAAGGATACCATTTCACCCAACTACATAGAAGTTTACTAAACTTAACTACTGTACCTACTTAGTAACTTATAAATTAATCATCATATTTTTTTCCAGGACGATTCTTCGGGACTAAGTTAGTGAAAACACTTTGTGTGCGAGTATTAAGAGAATTTGAACTTTCTTCAACTGAAACTTACGATGATCTACGTGTGATTATATCTATTTCTGTCGCATCATTGAATGGATTTCCTATCATATTGAATCCGAGAAAGAAATGAACCTAGCTTTATTGTCATAGCAATGTGTATTCCAGGGCTTATTTATAAAATAAAAGATAATGTTACGGGTACTTTATTGTATTATTACATTTATTACACCTACGATTTAATAAATTTTACGGCTCATTCATTTTAGTTAGCTTAGACCAATAAGGACTTTAATTAGTTTTTCACTACATTTTCTTTATTGTTGACTGCCTCGTTGGCCGAGTGGTCAATTGCGACTGCCGGGCATGGGGTCACGGGTTCGATTCCCGGGTAGGGCAAAGTATTACTGGGCTTTTTCGAAAAATCTCAGTAGTAGCACGGAGTCTGGAATTGTGCCCGGTATATGGCAATAGGCTCACCCCCTATTACATGGGACTCATAACATAAATGTACACCTCTGCCTACCCCTTCGGAGATAAAAGGCGTCATTTTATGTTGTCTTTATTGTCCACAAATCTTTTTATTATTTCAAAGTAAATAAATTCCATTAAATTCGTGGATTGGATAAAAATGCACAACAAAAGTAAAGAAACAAAAATAAACTGTTAGTCGATTTTCAAAAGTGATGTAGCCATTAGTCACTTTTATTAGTTTGACAATTGACAACTCGCGCTGCGCACACTATGGTAGTTTCATAAAATCTTTCATTCTTCTGTCAGTTCACGAAACGTTGTTGTCGTAACGAGGTTATTTTCGTGAACGATTTGAATTTAAAATTAATTTCTTAAAAATAGAAGTACAGTTTACAATATTCCAGCTAATGGTCATTATTTGCTGGATCATTAATCGTTAAAATCAAAATGGCATCGCTATCCAGAATTCAAAAACTCGCCCTCATAAGTTTGGGTGCTGTCGGAGGCGGTTTAGCATATTACAGAATAAATAGTGATTCTAAGGAAAAAAGGTTCAACGCTTTCAACTCATGGACGACGAATTTTACTCCTAGCGTGCAGTGGGATAAAAATTGGGACCAGTAAGTATAAATTATTCAGAAAAAAATAGATTGACCTATTATCATCAACTATTCATAATCATTTGTTTGCTTAATTACATAGTAAATATCGTGCCTAAAGTTATTTTCAAACAGTTATTATGTACTTTAGTATTCTAATGTCTATCTTATCAGAACTAAAGGATTCTATTGGTGTTAATTTGTCTAATATTAACCAGGCCATGTCATGACACAGATTATTAAAATATTTTGATACCAAAATAGTATGTAAAGACATTCAAAAATAGAACCGTAATATAGCGAAGTTCGTTTACCTTAAGATGTTTTAAAAACACAGAGGACATTAAAACTAGAAGGTTGAAATATAAATTTGTCAACATGTGATTTCCTTTTATTTATACTTTAGACTTTACTTAGCAAAAAGCTGTAGAACAAAGTTTGCTTTTTTATGTTTATGGTGCAGATTAAACTTTGTTGTAACCGACAAAGACATTTTTATACAGCCAATAGGTTTTTGTACTGTATTCATGGACAATATTAGAAACTTTTGTTAGTCCTTTAATTTAATTAATAATAAAAAGTTAACATTACCAACATTCTGCACTATTGCTAAAATTACCTATGATTTATATTTGTATTGAATTTCATACATATTCATTCAGTAGTTACTTACTTACAAATACATCCTCACAAGATTATAAATTTGCATTTTAAACTATATTATGTTAATTTTTAAGTTTCTATGTGGGATTCCCCACTTAGAAAGAAATTGCGCACAAGTTTTTTCTTCTGATCACTTGATAAAATAAACATCCTGCATGGTTTAACTCGTCGAGTACCGTATTTATAGACACAATTAAAGAACAATAGGTTGCGGTCACCGGTGACCGCTTGGTGTTTGACAGTTTAATAATCGTGAGTACACTTATACACTAGGTATTTGTTCAATATAATGATGTCACTGGTAAATAATTTCAAATTGCTGTGTAAATTATGTTATTACGTCCAATTATCCCCCCACCCCACTCCTCCCATCTCCTGAATCCCCAAATATCCTCAAATTTCTAACCCTCAAAAGGCTGGTAATGCACTTGTAACGCCTCTAGTGTTCCGTGTAGTGTGACGCCGATTGCTTACCATCACCTGATGGTGGATGGTGGACCCCACTAGTAAACTAGTGGACGGATCACCTTCATTATCAGTCTGCTAGTTTACTGGCTTATTTCATAAAAAAAAATAAGACATCGTAGTATCTTGTGTATCATAGTAAAACATGTTGTTGTTATGTTGTTAACAATTACAACGGACATAATATTAGGACAGATAGGCAAGACTCCATCAGGAAAACTGCTAACTTCTGCTACGTACCTTTATGTTATTTATTTTTGGCATCTACCATTGATGAATAATAATAATATTAATATGTTAGTAATTTGTATTCTTCGTATTCTGGTACTTCCAATAAAAAGTAGGACTTATATCATTTCAGATTTACAGGGTAACTGCTAGATAGCATTTTAACGCTAGTATAGGATAATACTAGTGTTGATTAAGATAATTTAAACCATAACTGATATGATATTGAATACATAACTACCGCATTTACCTAATTAACAGTTTAAGAAGCTAATAGAAATCTCATTATAGGTAATCTGATTATCTCCTTATCTGCCTCTAAGACAAGCTTAATGTCAGTAAGAGTCTCCATAAAACTGATCGACTATTGTTGTTTCACCTACATCCATGACAGATGAAAATATGACAAAGTAGTTAATAATTCTATAGATAGGCTGTAATCAGTTTTTAAATGATATTGGTTTTACAGCCCAAATGAATAAATGATAAATCTCAACCATTTGGATTGTGATTGATATCAATTTTTAACATCCAATTGAATTTCTGTCAATTTATTTGGATTCAGATGAAACAGCAGCCTCGGCCGTTACATGTAAATATTTTAAAGGTAGCTTCTGTCTGTGGTTTCTACATGGACTAAAAAGTTTTTTTTTAAACGTTGCTCCACACTAGGCTTATCTTCTGTATCGTGGGTGCGTTTATAAACATACAAGGTCACATACACATTACACCCAGACCCGCGACACGTTGCGCGGCAGCCAGTTGCCCAACCACCGCACCAACCATATAGTCGAGCATTTCAACTCAATCCCTTCAGGAGATTTGAAGAAGTAACAAACATGCACACAAACACTAAAATTCTTAAACTAACACATTTATAAGGGGTATTCCACTTTGCGCACCTAAATGAAGCGCACCCAGACGAAGCGCACCTAAAGTATTCCACGTTGCGCACCTGTAGGTGCGCTTAAAATAAAAATTTTAAATAAATAGTTTTTCTATTCCACAAAGCGCACCTACGAATATCACTCGCATAGTGCGGAGACTAAGTTTTAAATAATAAATATTTTCTTATATCGATATTTTTATTTCTTAGTCTTAAAATTTTTATTTTAAGCGCACCTACAGGTGCGCAAAGTGGAATACCCCATTTATAATATTAGTCAGATTAAGCTAGATAAGGCTGGACATAACCTTGAATTCATGCATGTACAAGTTAGCGTCTTAATAATGAAAATTTCAATTTTAGCCGGGAACCAGAATGCTTGGTAAAACCAATTAAGCATGGACTGGAAGAAGATGACAACAAGTATAATGAGAAGCTGGAGAAAGCGAAGAGCAGGGCTGTGAGGCACTTGTTCCTCATCAGACATGGACAGTACAATGTCGATGGAGCCAAGGATAAGGACAGGACTCTTACGGACTTAGGTGAGTACGATAAAACAGTTTATACTTTGTGGTACCACTTTATACTACTAATAACTATTTGTGTGATCTGCATATTGTTCTTCTGAGTATATTATCCAGAAGTGTACCTAGATATGAACGGAACTGGTGCCATATAAGTCTACACCTCTGCATGCTCCTTCGGTTATTAAAAAGGTGATATGGTAGTTGTGCCATCGAATTAATAAAAGGAATTTTAAAACCTATAATTTCTACAATATTATCCATCTTTTTAACCTTTAGAACATAAAACGGTCATTAATTTGAATGCTTTTTAATTATTTGAGAGATAATACTTAATTAATTGCTAGTTCTAATGGAATTTGATACTAAACTGTAATATTTATATTTTAAAGACATTGAAAATATCTCAAATATATTCCCTGGTAGTAAATAATATGATTTATTAACAGTCATCATTGTTACTTGGTCGTAAAATATTTACTTTATAAATAAAATGTTGTTACCGGGGCCGTAACATGTCACATAAGTAATTATTATTATTCGCCCGCGTTCTCGTGGCATAAAAAGTGGCCTATGCGTTATTCCAGAACATAATCTATCCTTAGTCCACAAGAGAACAACACACACACGCGCACACACACACACACACACGCACACACACACGCAAGTTATGTTTCTGCCACCGACAGAGGGTGCAATTCGATGATGAATGCGTTCGATGTTAGAACAACACTACTTTCTTATCTTAAAATTCTTTATTATAAAATTAGTATGTCGGTTTTATTGAGGTTAAATCTAGTGGGGTTAATGATGATACAGCGATTCGTAGCTGGGCACAAGGCGACAACAAGAGGAGACGACTCAGCAGTTCGAATGTTGCAGAACCTTCGTTGCATCAAAGTAGGTGTAATGTCCTGATTCAGCAGATCTGTTCCTGGTGACACGGCGTTGATCACGGTGTAGGTACATGTGTCGGCACCGATACGTAACACGCGCACCCGCGCGCACACACACACATACACACACACACACACACACACACACACACACACACACACACGCGCACGCACACGCACGCACACAAACACACACATACGTCTTCAACATTTAATTAATATAAACAGGCAAGAGTTACAGGACAAAATTTTAAACTCCATGGTGCATTTCTGAGAAGTATGAGAATCCAGTAATCCAAATCGAGTCTCAATTCAGATTGCAACCACACAGGCGGAAATCATATTCATAACCAAAACTACATTCATCTTATTATTGCTTTAGGCAGTGAATAAAAATTATCATAATGAATTACAGGAAGACTGCAAGCGGACTTCACGGGCCAAAGACTGGCTCTGTTAGACATAAAATGGGACTTACTAGTCCAGTCCACAATGACACGGGCTCAAGAAACAGGCAACATCATAGCCAAACACCTGGACAAGGATATTGAAGTGAGGGACTGTCAGCTCATTGAAGAAGGAGCCCCAATACCTCCGGAACCACCCGTTGGACATTGGAGACCAGAGCCAAAAGTATGTAAAATTTTATGTTGCTTAGGTTTTCTCACAGTTGCGGTTGCCATCCCTATGTGACAATCCCTATGTAATATTTTATAGTGTTTTTTCTTTATTTTACATACCAGATCCTAAGATCTGCCTGCCTCGTTGGACGAGTGGTCGCAAATGCGACTGCCGGGTAAGGGGTCTTGGGTTCGATTCCCGGGTCATGCAAAGTATGACTGGGGTTTTAACAAATTCTCAGTAGTAGCACGGAGTCTGTAATTGTGCCCGGTATATGGCAATAGGCTCACCCCCTATTACATGGGACTCATAACATAAATTGTGAAAACTTGGTGTTACATTGTACAGTGGCATAATGTACACCTCTGCCTACCCCTTCGGGGATAAAAGGCTTGACGTTATGTATGCATGTATCCAGAGATTCGATGTCAAAAATCTTGGAGCTATAACTGAGGAGCTTAATCCAAAATACTCGAATTAACATTGATTTTTTAATAAATTGAGCCGTTAAACTGGCTTTTTAAATCTAGAGACGGTAATATTTACTTCGCCTTTCTGCTACCCACTTCTGTGCATGTCGACTTGATTCATCTCTCATCTACCTTCAAGTAAAGTGACCACAAATCACATGACCACTGAACTTAGGCAATTGAATAAGGAAAACCACTTCATTGTTTTCTGAGAATTTTTATAGGCATACTAAAATTAATGAAGTCATACAAATTCTTAAGTGTCGTGGTCATGGTCACTTCAGGTCAATGAGTATTAGTTGTGTTGTAAATAATTTTATTACTGCTATTTTACCTAATAGAAAAGACTGGGCAGGTTTGCAACCTCTGGTGTTGGGCAGGTTGGCAACCTCTGGTGTTGCATGATTAACATCCCATTTTGAACGGGACTGTCCCTTTTTATATTTACTAGTTTTATTGTCCCCGAAATAAACTCTGGGATGTTAAATTTAAATCCCGTTTACGGACACCACGGGTAAATTTGAATAATCAAACCTATGCGACGACTGTTCGGACGAGTCGAATGGTGTTCGAGAACGATACATCATCATAAATCGCTTATTTTTGACGAAGTACAGTAATAAAATATTGAAGTAGGTACCTAGATTCTTGAGCAGTTAGTAATGTTAACATTTTTGTTGTTGGCACAAGATTGTGTTTAGGTATAGGTTCTAGCTGTTAGATGCCTGACTGAAAATAAACTAATATCCCGTTTTCAGTTAAAAAATAAATAGTCACGTTATGCATGATCCGTCTGCTTCTTTTCCCCTTCTACCCCATTCCAGCTTACAACACTCAGGTTTTGGTCATGTCTGGATAGCCGCTATGAGGAACAGAGAGCTCACCTGTCTTTGTGCACTATAATTAATAGCCACCATGACCGAAATCGGTCGGTAGGTATTATTATAACATGTAGGTAGTGAAACAGGCGCTCAATATAGTACACAATAGAGGAAATATCCTTTCATTCTATTTTTAGGACATTGAATGCTGCAAAATTGCATTCAAAACGTCTTGTGCAATATCTAGCTGAAAGATCTTAACAAATTCATATTCAGTGCTGAGCACTGAAAGATAACCTTTTTTGAAAATAACTCTTGTTACTATGTATTATCTGATATCTGTTATGTAGGTTGCATGAAATGTTTGCTCAGCTGCTTATAACCTAATTGTTTCATTGGTTGACTATTTTCATGTGTTTTCGCCTTATTTACCTACTGTGGCGTAACTACAGGGTGGAAAGTCGGCTAAATGCCACGAGCCCCCAGCTGGAAAGGGCCTCGGTTCACAGGTTTTCATTGGAACTTCTCTGTTATTGAGGATACCCACCCAATGAATTTGCCACGGGCTCCTATAAATATAGTTACGCCACTACTACTGTAGGTACATTTTATACGAACCAGTTTGCATATTCCAATTCATTTCCATAAAAATCTGTCCTTCGTCCTTCATAATCATAACCTTTTGTTTTGTATTTTCCGTACTCATATCTAACCGTTTGGGAGTTTCATTGAGCTTAAACAAATCTTAATTATAACGGGTATAAGACTTTTTATTATTATTTTACGTGCCTTTCTTTTATTCTTCAATTTATCTTATTTTATTATGTCTGTAGGTCATCGGGCCCCATATGTAAATTAACGGGCCCCATTAATGGGGCCCCATTATTAACTGGGACAGATTATTGCAATGAAAAATCTTACAGTTACCCACGTTACTTACAAGAATCTTCTAGTATTTTTCTAGAGATATATAATTTAATTTTCTTAATATTTATTTTAACTGTCGGGCCCAAAAACTTGCAATAGAAGTTCCACCTTCCTATTTAAAGGTTAAGATCTAGTTTGGAATGCAACTGGCGAGTATAGTAATCCACTGGTTTGGCACGTGCAGCAGTTCTTTCAGGACAGTGCGCGGATAGAGGCAGGGTTCCGTCGGTACTTCTACAGAGCGCCGCCTGAGCAGACCGAAGACACCTACACCTTGCTGGTCTGTCACGCAAATGTGATCCGCTATTTTGTTTGCAAGTAAGTATATTTTTGATTGTACTTTTTATTACGAAAAATGCGGGTTTTTGTATCACTTTTGTACAGAAAAAATCTTAATATTATTATCTTTGTAGTTTTCAAAAGTCATTTCTAGACTTTTGAGTTCTTAAAGTTCCAGGTCTTTAATGTTACTATAACATGATTAAGATGTTTTTATATTTGTTTGAAAACTTTAATGTTGTAAAAATATAGTGGTTGTGTTAAAATTACTTGTTATTTAAAATTTTGAATTATAGTTGGGATCTTTGCAGGTCTTTTTCTCAATAGTTCTATTTATATTCATACTTCAGTCATATTTTATACACTTTCAGTTATAGCTCCTTTTCTAATCTTTCCAGGGCACTCCAATTCCCACCTGAAGGTTGGCTGCGGTTATCACTGAACCACGCTTCCATCACATGGTTATCCATAATGCCTAATGGCAACGTAGTCCTGCGATGCTTGTCTGATACAGGCCACATGGACCCTAAGTACATCACTAGCCGGTAAAACAGGTGTTTACGAGGTTTATACGGGTGTAGCTAGCACTAGTGAGACTGGCATGCCAATCAACATGTGACTGGCATGCCAATCAATGCCAATTGCTGTTATTTCTGAATAGAAATTTCTAGGAATTGGCTAAATTCTGCACTTTTTTGGGTTTGAAATTGATGTTACTTTTGATATTTTCACTTAGCTTTGAATTAGTTCTGATAGATATGGAATCATTCTACATTAAGGTTTAAATTAGCACCAGCTATTTGTATATTAAAATCATAATCATCTTAAAGAGTTTTGATGACATCGCTAAGTGATTAACGTCAGAAGTATCAACTATCTTTCGACCCCACGGAGACTGAAAGGCATCTTGTTCATATTCATATTTCAACTGTATATTTTATCCTTTATAAATGTTGTTTCAATCTTTTAAAACCTTTCGAGTTCTTCAAATCAAGAATAAGACGCTACTTCAGGTCACAAAGGAACATCATGACTTACAAATTTTGACTTTACAGCGAGGTTTTTAAAGTTCAAATTCGACCATGAATTTGTTGATTAAGTTATGATGTTTCAAGCACACAATTTTTTATACATATGTGAGTGTACGTAGTTTAAGAGCAATTATGTCTATTATTTAGTGATAGCTTAGTCGCATAAGTGTTCAAGGAAATAATCTATTAAATCCCTTTTTCATAATATTTTTTACATTGTCAGGGAATTAAATATAAAAAGAAAATATACATACATCGCATTTGGAACTTTTAGTCAATTTAATAAAGTTGTATTATATTCTGCACTTAAGTTTCAAAAGCATGTATTGCCAGCGCAGTTTAAATGTTGCACAGTTCATATAAAGTTCAATTTTCCTAAAAATACACTTCGTTTTTTATCCATGGCACTGTGAATCCAATCTTAGTTCCATACAAACAGCGACTATAATCGTGTTATCACTAAATAATTTACCAAGTTTTTTCTATGTTGCATTTTAGCACTGGACCGGGATAACGAAGTAGAGAGAGTAGTGACTAGCGCTAGTTACTGGTATGTTTAAGTAGATAGTACTGGAATGGCATAAAACTTATACTCAACTCACACCAAACGAGCATCGAAGCGGAACGCAGTTTTAATGTCATATGAATTTAAACTTTATTTTCATTATTATAATACTTATTATCGCATGAGAAACTCTAACAAACTACATAGTTTCGCGCGTCGCTGTCTTTCGCCGCTCTTTCGGTCTGAGTTGACCCTACAGTGACTGCCGTACACAGAGATATTGAATGATTACTTAAACTATTTTTTTAGTATAGCACACGAGCAGACGAATCACTTGATGGTAAGCAATAGGCGCCCCACCCGAAATATCAAAGAAGTTACAAGTGCTGACCTTTTGGGAGTTAGGGAAGTGGGAATTAGGGAAATTGAGCCTGTGCGGGGTGTAAGGTCGTAGGTAGACATAAACGCATTAAAGACCGTAAAAGTTTATTGTTTTTATAAAGAGCTCTGAGCACTTTATTAAATCTGGGTGTCTTCGAGGCCCGAGTGAATAGGTTGCTTATGGGACGACGTGCTCCATCGTAGACCGCATCATCGCAAATCATATTATTATAGCAGAGATAGTGGTCAAACGTTGGCCCATTAAATATAAAAATATCTTAATGTTAATGTTTATGTTATTTGGTGAATGCACCCGTTCTGTTCGCGATCGATAAGTACACTGAAGTCTCGAATGTACATGTTAAAACAATACATGAAAACTGCTTCGCGAGCAAGTGTTAAAGTTTAGACCAAACAGGGCCTCCGGTACCCTCACTCACATGGCGAAATAACACACGCGTAGTTTCATACAAGTTCTCTGTGTTTCTATATCATAGTACTGATTTTGTTCCGAAACTAATTGCTAAAGTCTGAGTTAAGTATTCATTCAATGACTCTGAGTACGGCGGTAAATGCAATCCTCCATATTGGCTTGTGGCGGGGTGTTTTTATATCTTACTAATAAGTATGTTTCTAAGTTTAATAGTTTAATACACTAAAAGTGTGTATAATAGAGATATGTGGTTGTCCAAATATGACTAAAGTATTATAAAATAAAGTTCAAAAACAGAGGTTTTCCCATTTTCCTATTTGAACGACAATAACCATCTATTTCTATTACCTACTCTTAAAACATTATTATGTGTAGCTTTTGTACTAAAAGTACTACAATATGCACTGAATTAAAAACAGCATTTTACATACAATATTTGACTGCGACAATTTTTAACCTGATAGGATTTAAATTGCTTGTGGCGCCTTTATACATCGCAAAAGCACATTTAAAAGATCAATGTCGGAATACTGAAACGCTACTCAATTTTAAGTCGTGCTTAAGTATAGTTCTATCTCTACAAATTCTTTGTAAAATGACAGAGATGGCACGATATTTGAGCACGACTTCGAATTTAGTAACGTTTCAGTATTCCGGCATAAATTACTTATTAAAACTTATAGTTATAAAACTATTTTTTGTTAAATAGTCTTGAAACAGCATTCATCTTAATCTTGCCTCTGCTCTCTGTTAGTCTTCATAATATGAACTGCTTTTTACCCAATATTGCTAATAAGCCTAGCCTGTGCCATTTTCCATTTAAATTTAAAATACCTACTCCATTCTAATACTGGAACTGAAAAGGCTTAAACGTCTGAAGATATAATGTTAATATATTCAACCTATTTAGTCTGCTGATACATTGTCAAACAAATATGGTATTGAAAAATTTATGAAAAGCAGTATATTTTTGCTCGAAAACGTATCTGCATATCCAATATGTCTTTAAATTTCTTGAATTTATACTTTACGACTTAGTAAGGCAAGGTTGCGAGTAGATCGCTATATAGGTACCGATACCCTCCCGCCTCACCGCGCTTGAGGTAAGGGCGGAAAGATACATTTAATGATTGGATGGAAATCCAACAAAAGAAAATGGATGACCTATTAAAATGCACTAATAAAAGTAAACATCCATTATTTAACTATGTAGGTTTTATGTATTCATCTTATGTAGGTTTTTTTACGATTGGTAATGGTTCAGCTTTGTTTTTTTTTGTTTGAAACACTTGAGCTTGGATGCACAATGCAATGCATTAACAAGTTACGTTTGCTTGGTAGTATCTAGCACGTAATGCACCATATACCTACCTTAATATGACAAGGGGCCCCTGGGGCTAATCCCAGGGGCCCGGTGACCACATTTTTGTTTTACTTAAAAAAAAATTGTTACTGCTTTAGTATGAATGCTATTGTATTTTCAACTACTGTGCTAAAACGATTACCTAATCATAACTGCTTAAATATTAAAAATAAATAATTTACTACCAAATTTTCAGCTTCTCATACCTTTGTGCTCATAACTTGTGATATGAATTTCGTCGCTTCTAACTTAAAATTCGTCTAGATTATAAAGATCAAATTCAGATTGTTTTGGTTACAGTAATAGCGGTTCAAAACGGAAGGTCAAGAAACAAGGTAAGGAGAACAAAGGGGTAAAAAACAACTAACATTGAACACATATTATTGCGAGTCACCCTACAATTAGGATTCTATTGATCAATTTTATTCGTGAGATACTTAATCATGTATTTTTCTCTACAATGTTTGCGGTTGAATATTTTCTAGTTTATCGTTAGGTAGTGACTAATAACTGTTTTATAAACTACGTTTGAAGAAGCCTTCTTCTTCTTCTAAACTATCAAACACCGGGAGGACACCTGTGACCGCAACCTATTGTTCTTTAATTGTATCTATAATGACGATACTCAAAGGGTTATTATACTAAAGCAAGCAAGTATAACAAGCCCGATAAGGAGCCGCGGAAGGTCTAACGGGTTGCCGGGGTTCTGGCTCGAAGTGTAAAAAGAGCAGGAGTAGGAACAGTGTGGTTTTTAGTCAGTTAGAGTCTGAGTCCCTCCCGCCTTACCCAGCCGGGACAAGTCATTCGATGATTTTAACCCCTTTAAAAAATTGTAACAAATATTTTCTAAAAACCGTATCAAAATCGGTTCCGCAAATCACGACATAATCGCGCACAATCAAAAGTCAAAAAATCAAAGTCAAATCATACATAAATACAGGTCAAATAAAGAACCTTTTTTTAAGTCGGTTAATTAACGCACTACGCTAGAAGATAGCTCACAGGGGCCCAAGCTCAATGAAATTAGGATATTTGTTACATTTTAATTATTTACATGGTTCATCTCTCATAGTTAAGTTCTCGGTCTCATCAGGAGATGCTACAAAATTCCTATAGTAATTGGTATTAATACAATCTTCGTTTTATTAAAGAAAAGAAAAACACCATGGAAACCTTCTTTGTTATTATTAACTCTGTTGAATTGACATGAAAGTAATCCACTGCAAACATTGTTAAACTTATTATTTCTCTGAATATTATTGATCAATGAAATATATTATACAGTATTTACTCGCGATAAAAATATTAAATTAATCAAAATTGGAATTAGGTGAAGACTAAGTACTTATAAGTATGTACCTAACAAAAATCAGTATCAAAATACATTATAGTTCTAGTTGATGTACATGAAACTAGGAAGGCAAGCAAATGACAATGTAACAGCACTAGTAACAGCTTTGAGTAGCATGCATGATAGAATTATGAAATTAAATTATCAAAGTCAATTGTTAACACAAAATGCGCCTTAATTTTACTGCCATAGTGACCATTATTGATCGTGAAACGATTGTAAATTGACATAGAATACCATGATGGTAAGATATATCAGTTATATAAAAATGTTTATTGGTTTTATCATATCAAGTTAATCGGGTAATCTGTGCCTCTAATGCCCGGATACTGAATCGATACTCAATTTGAAGTCGCTTAAGTATAGTTCTGTTTCTGTCACTACAAATCTATCTATACATACAATAAAATCGTAGAAAAGTCAAACCTGCACATTTAATATAATTTTAAAAGAATACGTGGGGCGTGATTTACTATCGTTACCAAAATATATGTTTTTTGAAATTTTTGACTGTTCGTCTGTATGTATGTCCGGGATTATCTCAAAAAGTACTGCATGGATTTACTTCAAATTTTGTATGAATATCACTAACAGGTCGGGTCAACATATAGGCTACATATTATCACGCTATCATCTACGGGGGAGGAGCCCTACAGTAGATGAGTAGATACTTTATCAATTCTGACGACATTCGTTACCGTAGAATATCCCTTGATAAAGACTAATTCAAAAGCATAAATTCTGCCAGAAGTCATTCTACGCGGACGAAGTCGCGCGAAAGCGCGCTAGTTCTTTATAAAATGATAGGGATGGCACGATATCAAAGTACAACTTCAAATTCAGTAGCCTTTCAGTATTCGGGCTGTAAATAAATAAATTTAGTAAAATTTTTAATCGTTTTATCATTACTTTTCTCCAAATAACGGCGCAATATTATATATTATGTTAAAACATTAATATTTGCCTTAACCTTTTGAATGCACCGACCGATTGAAACACAATAGAAAATACATTGTGTCTCCCGTGGATCCACGTCTAACGACACACGAAAGGTTAATCACTTATGTATGTATAATTTTAAGGACATAATAATTTATCGTTGTTATTAAGTATTAGTTTCATTCATTAATTGCAGGTTAGTGCCATAATCAAATTACAAATCCTTTCTGTGAAACTTCTGTATTCCTATAACAGTGCAAATTCTTTAAGGTTCATGTTAGACAATAATTATATTTTTCGGCTTGCTCTTGTAATTAACTCGACTAGTTAAAATGATAATTGAGGTACCTAACATGAACAACTTTCGTGAGACATACTAAATTAATTAATATGTTTTTCGGCTTTCTCACGTAATTATTTGACGAGGAACTCGACTAGTTTCAAGCCATGCTAAAGGCGCATATTCACTTGAGTGACTCGAGTAGCCAGTAGCAACGCGACAGTCACCGCGTCGCGGGTCGCGGAATGCTACTCATGAATATGAGCCTCTAGCATGCCTTATGCCTTACAGAACTTAAATTGTATTACCGCTTTACAGTTTGAATGGTATCATTTTAACTATGAATTATATTTTACTAAAATTAACCTCTTCAATACAAAATGTGCCTGATTGAAGCAATATCAAGATATGTGTTACCCTTAATTAGTGTCCCTAAGTCAAGTATAATGTACAAAAATCTAACAAGGAGAGTTTGGGAGTTACTTTAGACCTTATTCAGTAATTAGTAAATAAAAAAGTTGAATAATAAAAGTTATCTATGAAAGGACAATGTCCAAAATGGCCCTGTGTAATATAGAGTATTAGAATATACAATAATTAATCCCCTATTTTATTATATAAGTTGCAAATACTTCTGTATCACGGACTAGCTGTATTCCAAATTATACTTTTAATAGAATTTAACGCGATTAATAACATTAGATCGCCATCTTCGACTAATATCAAATGCCTTCGCCTAATCTAATAAATAATAATCGTCGTAATAGGTAGTTAGAATAATATTATCCGATACTCTTGGCTCCAGGGCCAACAATGCATGGATGCAGAGCAATGTCCTTATAATATTACAAAAATGTTTTGTTAAAAGCAATGAAATGTCAATCTTATTTTTAAGTATCTAAAGTCTAAACTAACTCATAAACTTGCCTATGTTAAATTATCTATTACAGTGTAGCTAGCAACTTAGTCTAACTAAAACTGCCTTATTGTTTTAGATTAAAAGTTAAACTCAATTATTATGCCGTTTATATTTTTTTACTGTATACTGTAATTGCCAAATTACCTCTAGCCTAGCAAACTACGTATGTTTGTGAATTTGTATAATACACTACAATTATTGTAAATATTTTGTAATGTTGAATAAAATGTGTAAAGGAATTTTGATGTGTTTATTTATTTCCACTTAACGATCTACTTTTTGGCTGAAAATAAACACTAGTTGATCTATACAGATAATGAAATAGGAGTGTCTGTTAATAAGTATTAAAATAACCGCTTTTTGCTACACGCATATACAGGATGCAGGGTCACTTGTAACTCGACGTATTCCTCTTGGGAGGTGATAATACAACTTATTTCCTACAAACATAGCTCTGAGGCATAGTAGAAAGAACACAGTAGGTTATCTAAGGCCACCCGCCGAGTTATTAGCCTACTCTTGCGTTGATCCCCAGGGTTGTCACTTTTACTTTTAGTTAATATTTTCGAACAAGCAGCACTTGATCTAAATTTATGAAATGAAAAGCATATTATGATTGAATATTTTATCAATTTATAAATTTAGTAAAAATTAAAAGCTTATAAAATGATTATTAACTTCTTAAAATAAACTTTAGCTCTATACATAGTATTCAGAAAGTAAATTTGGGAATACATTTATATGGAAAATTGCGACTCGGCTACGCTCTTAACAAATCAGATAAACTGTGAAATAAACAATACAATACCACATTTTCTTATAATATTTAAGTATAGTAGGTAATTACATTTCTGGTTGAGTAGGAACTATGAAGAATGATAAGAGTAAGAATAAGTAAGTAGGTATCTCATCATCAAGTACCTACAAATTATATTATGCTAGAAAAAGTGACTAGCTTACCTTTCCTGTTGAATAGGTACCTAATCTCAACAGAGACAGTTCTGGAATCGATTAATTATTAAGACACCCAAACACACAGCAATACGTTCTTCTACGATTATAAGACATTTTTTATTTCATTGAACAGTGCCGAAAAGCCGTGAAGCGCGCGCAATCCTCGTACAGTGTCAGCCCTGCCTGGCGCACTGAGAAACGGGTCGAGATTTTGTTATAGTGTGCGTGCGTCGACGCATAGATACTATGGCGCACACATATAAGCCGCGCGCGGAGCATTTGTATGAAGATAACCTACTTTGTTCTTTATACTATGTCTGAGGTCTCTGGTCCGAAAGTGGCTAGTTTCTGAGATATTCAACATTTTCGGTTTAAGTGAAAATAATCTGACCTAACTATAAAAAAATCAGTAACTAAAATATCACTGGGTTGATTTAAGTGATTTAAGTTTTAATTTGTTGGCAATACATCAATAAACATTTATTAATACGAATACCGTCAGAAATATCATTGGTTTTAAAATACCAAGTAAATTAGTATCTATTTGGTTAATAGAAAACTGCATTTAGCTTAAAAAAAAATTATATTACTTAGAATACGTCGAGTTACAATTACAAGTCACCCTGTGTATACGATACACATACCAAAATACTGTTTTCTACAATTTTCGTATGTCTGTTTATTTGTACTGGTTAATATCTGGAATGGCTAGACCGATTTTCCAAAACTTTTATTGGCAGGTAGCTGATGTACTAAGGAGTAACATTGGCTACTTATTTTATGAAAAACTGAAATAAAAAAGGTATGTTCTAAAATTCATATTCTACGCGAACGAAGTCGTGGGTAACGGCTAGTTATTAATATAAACAGCAATTTCGTTATTGATATTTATAATTAATAATGATTTTACCTTTCAACACGAGCAAAACAATTACTAAATGCATTCGCAAATACGGTAAAAACCCCATAAAAATATTTTTGCATCCTCTGTAGATAAGAACATAATGATTTCAAACAAAAATATTCATTGGTGCACTATTTACAATGATCATTGCGGTTAAAATGAACGTTATTTTTACGGTGTAATCTTTTAATGGAGGTCAATAAGTTAATCTTGAATGTCTTTAAAAAGAGGTTTATTGTTATCATCCAAGCTTCTAGATATTGATTTGCAAGTAAACAACTTTATCTACAAGAAAGCACTGTTTCGGAAATACCTACACACAAAGCAAGTCTTTCAAACCTTGTGTTCAGTCATATTTAGAAATTATAGACTAGCTTCTGCCAACGGTTTTGTCCGCGTTTTCGTGGGCTAAAAGCCTATAGGTTATTTCAGTCGCGGAGAACCTAACGGGTTACCGGGGCTCCGGCTCGACGTGCAGGAGAAGGAACGGGGTGGTTTTAGTCAGTAAGAGTCTGACACTCAATCCCGCCTCACCCAGGCGGGAGGTAGTCATTCGATGATTTACCCCCCTTAAAAAAAATATAGGTTATTCCAGACCATGATTAGGTAACCCTGTTCCAAATTTTACCCCGATCCTTTCAGCCGTTTGAATTTGAAAGAGTAACAAACACACACACTCGTACATCCTCACAAACTTTCGCACTTATATTAGAACACACACACATGAATCCTAATAATATATGTATTAATATATTATTAGGATTCCTGTTTACCTACCCCAATGACTTATGTCGACCAACGGCCGAAGTTAATCCAAATCTATAGATTGGTGTCTATTTCGAACATTTCCTGCCTACCTCTCATTGAGTTACTTTCTTCAAGGCTCGAGTGAATAGGTTGCTTATAGGATGATGTGCTGCATCGTAGACCGCATCATCGCTTACCACCAGGCGAGATAGAGGACAAATGTCGGCCCGTCAAATATATATAAAAAAATACTAGTTTTAAAAACTAAGATTGACCCAGAATTCAGGTAAGTATTTAAAATGGAGTTTGGTTAATAATTTCAGCTATAAATGACCATTACACAGAAGCACACATCGCTTTCGTCTACAGTAGGTATAGCAGAGTTATAGGAAAAATAAAACGAATATATTGTTTCTAGAACATTTTATTTGTATATTGGTTCTGTATTATTCATGTACAACATCAATATTTGCGAAATATCATTAATTTTAATATCTATTCATGCATTTTATTAGACAAATAAAAGCTCTGATTATATGTAAATTCTTGTTAGGATATGTTGAAAACTTTGAGGTATAAATAGTTGATATAAGTAAGTTATTAATTATTGATAGGTAAAATCTTGAACGAGATATTTAAAAAATAATTCTAGTATTTACAGTGCTGGGTAAATTTAGCACATAGTTCATAGTTAGACATAGTTAGTAAGTTAGAAACCAGAAATACTGTTATTTTTTTCTTTATCTGATATTTGGCACAAAATTTTTAAAGTATTTAAATTATTTAACCTTCGGGCCCCTGTTTTGAACTCAGTGGGGCCCCTCTATCAATCAGTGGGCCCCTATATCAATCAGTGGGCCCCTATATCAATCAGTGGGCCGCTAGTGGCATATCTTTTCCGGTAAAAGAAGTATTTGCTACTATCTACCCAGCAATGTAGTTTATTTCATTCTTAATATTTCTAATGAGAGGCAAAAACATGAAGCCAGTAAATATACGAAATGTAAATATAGTAATTATTCTTAAAATAGTCACAAGCAAGGTAAGATTTACGTTGCAACTATCTCACTCGTCAATACAGTAATTTGAAAGAGTAAAAAGGACAAAATATTTACAATTTATTATGATTTTTTTTTATTAATAAAAAATTGGTGTTTCAATGGAAAATCACGCAATTTTATTTTTTGCCGCATGGACCACGGCATCGATAGGCCTTCCGATTCTTTCTGTTAGAAACGGCATTTATTGAATAGTTGGTGATTGTGTACATTAAATTTTAGCCAGTTTATTGTTAGGTCTTTGAATAAAATACACCACTAGCTTTCCAGTAGTGGTTTGTAGATGATATACTTGTACCAACGTAGACAAATTGTACTTTCGTTATTTTGAGAAAATATTCTACAAATACATGTACTTATGTACATGCTTGTAAAATATGTCCACAAAAGTTACAAATGTGTCAAGTACTTTATTTAGGAGTTACACAATAATTATTTTTTACTATGAATGAAGACAAGTGGATTCCTTATAGGTACTATGATCAATTTTGGAATTGCAAATCAAAATTTAGCTTCATTATAGTAACAGCTGAAATATTCGATTTTAGGAAGCATTCGTTGTTATTGTTAATAAATATTTTTATAGTTTCTACAATACATGGGGTTTGATATTAAAAATGTAGACGTGATAATGTTTGAAATACTTTTAAGTTGATTTACAAAGAAAAACGTTATACTTTTTCTGCAAGCTATTTACAGGCGACAAGCCATACTTAATCATTTTTTAATTATTTAAAAATTAGTATCTATCATAAAAGAATTCCTGTTTAATAACAAGCAATATAATATAAGTACATTATTTAAATTTCGCTTTAATATGCTTTGTATTATATTTGCATAATTAGCCATTTAATACGTAGGTATTGTAGACGTGAAAAATAATAATAAAAATATATTTTTCAATCTAGTTCTTGCTTGCTATATCTACCAAAATTCTTCAACTTATTGGAACTTGGAGAAATGGGTAGTTTAATTTTATTTGAGATTCTCATCAGAGCATAGCGGGCCGCAATGTATCATTTTGACAATGGGCCCCAAATAAGTTAGCGGGCGGGCCCCGCTGACAAGGCTGCATTTTCTCAACAGTTTTTTATTGGAACTTGGACAAATAGTTTAATTTTATTTGAGATTCTCATCATAGCATAGCGGGCCGCAGTGTATAATTTTGACAATGGGCCCCAAATAAGTTAGCGGGCGGGCCCCGCTGACAAGGCTGCATTTTCTCAACAGTTTTGACCTATATTTGTCTTGTATTTCGTCAGAAAACTTTAATATTGATTCGAAGTTTGTTTTAGGCGCATACAACCTCCTTAAAATCTGCCGTGTTTTAGTATTAACAACGTAATAAATAATTAAAGCCAGCGTTAGCGTTAAGCGGTCGATATTATACGTAGCCAGGAGTCGATTTTCTTGATCTTGTTTATCTTTGAGCTTGGACAACTACACACTATTCTTATTCTTTGTGTGTAGGTAAATAACATAACTACCTATGTAGGTATTTTTGGCATAAGCCTCAATACCCCGTTTGCAATTTGAAGTGGTAGGTAATTCATTAAGTAGTCGTTGAGTACCACACAAAATTTAACAGATTTCTATGAAATGTTGATTGTTTCATTTTCGCTTTCTCATTATTCTCTTTTTGAATCAGGACACCCATCAAATAACTTCTCTTTCTGCATTCATTTTATCTCTTTATAGCAGCTTAAACATTTTTGATACTATAATTCCTTTGCAGTTCTTTTTACCAGTTAGTCCTATTTTGTCCTAATCCTGGCTACGTAAATATCGGCAGTTTAGTTGGCAGCTACAGGTCGTGGAAGCACGAGGTCTGGTCCTTCAGTCGTGTCGTCCTCGTCTTCATCGTCACACGCATCCTCAGGTTCACCCAGAGCGCGGACGAATTCTGAGAAACAAAAATATAATATTAAGTATCAGTAAATTTGTTAAAAAACTTAATTTAATTCATTATATTCCGTAACTACAGCTTCGTTGGCCGAGTGGTCGCAAGTGCAACTGCCGGGCAAAGGGTGTCGGGTTCGATTTTAGGGTCGGGCAAAGTATTACTGGGTTTTTAAAAATCTCAGTAGTAGCACGGAGTCTGGAAATGTGCCCGGTATAGGCTCACCCCCTATTACATGGGACTCATAACATAAATAGTGAAAAGTGGGTGTTCCATTGTACAGTGGCATTAAGTGCCGAAATGTGCACCTCTGCCAACCCCTTCGGGGATAAAAAGGCGTGATGTTATGTTATGTTATGTATTTGTTAAAAAACCTTCATATAATTCATTATATTCATAACTACAGCTTACCAAGAAAATCAATGCGGCCATCGCCATCTGCGTCGACCTCTTTGATCATGTCCTCGACTGAAAAAATATTACGGAAACGTTTAGAATTTTCTACGAAATATGGTATGGTGAGGTACCTATTCCATACCTGCAGTAATTAAGAGTGTACTACTACTTCATGTTTTTATCAATGTAATACATATGTATACATATCTATATATATGTATGATTATATATATTATTATATACGTACTTAATGTGTGCTTTGATGCTCCTTATTAATTTTGATAATTACCACTAACATTTTTGCAGCTTACCACCTACCACATACATTTCTGCACTACCCAAAGGATGACTGGCAGAGAATGCTGTTAGCATTAAGTCCTCCTTATGCAATTGTATTGTATAAAACTTAAATAAATAAAAATAAATAAATAAATAATACCTATCAGCTACAAGACGTGCGCTGCTAAACATAGGCTCCAGATCAACCTACATCCAGCGACTCCGGTTACATTTTACTAAGCCCTAATTAAAAATAGACTATCAACTTACTCTCTTCCTCAGACAAGTCCTCTCCCAAGCACTGAAGCACAGCCCTCAGGTCTGATGCGCAGATGTAACCTCGGTTGTGTTTGTCGAACACTCTGAACGCGTCTCGTAGTTCCCTCTCCTCCTGTTCAGCGGAGCTGGTGTTCCCTGCAGGACCACTCATGGATTTGGAGAGGATGCTCACGAACTCCTCGAAGCTGACGTTGCCATCGCCTGGGAAAAGGAAAGTAGGTAAAAGACCGTTAAAATGGAAATTTTCCGGTAGGTACCTTATTATCGAATGAGTCGATTTCAAGTATTTAAAGCGATTTGTAAGTTTGTAGCGTGGGTGCGCTTATAAACATACAAATTCACACAATAATAGGTACCTAAGCCTGGAGCCTTTCTTTTAAGGGGGAAAAATCATCAACTGTCTTCTCCCGCCTGGGTGAGGCGGGAGGGAGTGCCAGACTCTTACTGACTAAAAACCACCCCGTTCCTACTCCTGCACTTCAAGCCGGAACCCCGGTAACCCGTTAGGTTCTCCGCGGCTATATAGCCGCATCAGCCCTGTTGGGCCCCATCCGTGATGGCCTGATGGCTCTTTAAGCACGCTCGGGTCTGATTCTGATCCTCCGCAGGCCCGGGCTTACGGTGGCCAAGCCCGGAGCCTAGATCAACAATTTGTGGTTCATATAATAATAATACCTACTTCCATGCCGGTTTCAGCAACGGCGACCGTGTCATGGCTACTGGTGTTCATCATAATCATATAAAGAGTTACCGTGAACCATGCAGGTTAGATGATGATTAGGTAATATGACTTTTAAGCTTCTAAACCTACCGTCACTGTCGACCTCCTGCAGCATGTCCTGCAGTTCCTCGACCCTAGCGAACTGGCCCAGGCTGCGCATGACTCTGCCGAGCTCCTCCTTCGTGATGGTGCCATCACCGTCCTTGTCAAACAGGCGGAATGCCTCACGGAATTCTGGTTAAAAGAATACAGAAATTAATATTCATTTTAAAGAATTTCGCATAATGTAGGAATAGGTTGTTCTTGTAGAACAACCAATTTCTGTAAACCGTACGAGGTAGTGTAGTTCTGAGTCCAAGCTATTATGCTATCCTAATTGAATTCTGGATTAAAAGTTTGAGGACAATTCCAAATCTATTTAATTATAACTAGCTTCTGCCCGCGACTTCGTACGCGTAATCCCATTTTTCCCATCCCCGTTCGTGATTTTCGGTAAAAAGTAAACAAAAAATATTGGTTAAAAAATATCCTATGTCGGTCTCCTGGCTCTAAGCTACCTCCCTACCAATTTTCAGCCAAATCTATTCTGCCGTTCTTGAGTTATAAGTGGTGTAACTAACACGACTTTCTCTTAGATTACTAGCTTCTGCCCGCGACTTCGTACGCGTAATCCCATTTTTTCCCGTCAAAGTTCGTGATTTTCGGTAAAAAGTAAAAAAAAAAATATTGGTTAAAAAGTATCATACGTCGGTCTCCTGGCTCTAAGCTACCTCCCTACCAATTTTCAGCCAAATCTATTCTGCCGTTCTTGAGTTATAGGTGGTGTAACTAACACGAATTTCTTTTATATATATAGATTATAGCTACGCCTTCAGTAAATTGTCTCTAATTATCCGTTTTTGTTTATCTAGGATCGAGTAACACATTACTTACATACTTTAAACTTTTATTAATCGTTAAAGCTAAATTGCCAATACTACCTTTCATTTGAGTCCTGGTGATGCCGGAGGTCTCGTCGACGATGGACGCCTTCCTGTCGAGGGTGGTGTCAGCGGCCGGTTTTAAGAACGTCACCTGACGTGGCGGTTTGCTCGGAGACGCCTGCTCGGGGAGCTGCTGACTGAAAGTAGGAAAGGAGTTTTAAATAGTGTGATGTGGATATTTATGTAAAGGATCTTTATGTATTTATGTGTTGGGGTCTTTTATAACTCGATTTTTTGAACTAGCTTGCGGCCGCCACTGTGCATTACCTAACTAAATTCAGTTAAAAGGCAGTGTCTTTTTTCTAAGGAGGAAAATCATCGAATGACTGCTCCCGCCTGGGTGAGGCGGGAGGGAGTGTCAGACTCTTACTGACTAAAAACCACCCCGTTCCTTCCCCTGCACGTCGAGCCGGAGCCCCGGTAACCCGTCAGGTTCTCCGCGATAATTCTTCAGTATCTAGCAGGTACCTATCTTTCATTTAAAAAAACACCTAAAGGCTGAACACAAATAAAGCTAAATATGACACAGCTTAGTAAAATACTAACACAAATCTTCCTATAAAATCCAGGAACCCTTTCCTAATTGAAAATCCCTGAGGCAAACGAGAAGATCTCATGGTGACCCCAAGTTTTAAGACGCCCGCTTCTCATGCTTAAGAGTGCGGGTTCGAAACTTACCAACGGCAAGTACCAATGTGACTTTTTCCGAGTTATATATACTTTCTAAGATTATCTAGACACCACTGACAAACGGTGAAGGAAAACATAGTGAGGAAACCTGGACTTATAATTTCTAATTATTATAAGTTTCAAATAAACACGATGGGATTGACATAATCATATGTCACATAGTGTGCATAAAAACCCCTTAAAATAAATGAGATTAAAAAAGTTTCATATCCCCAATCCGCATTGAGCAAGCGTGGTGATTAATGCTCAAACCATCTCCGTGCATGCGAGAAGATGCCTTTGGTCAGCAGAGGCCACTTATAGGCTGTTGATAATGATGATAAAATGAGAAGATAATAATATTAAGTTGGTTGGCTTGCCTCGTTGGCCGAATGGTCGCAAGGGCGACTGCCGGGCAAGGGGTCTCGGGTTCAATCGCTCGGGCAAAGTACTACTGGGTTTTTAAAAAAAAATCTTAGTGATAGAACGGAGTCTGGAATTGTGTCCTCGCGGTGTTTGACAGTTTAAAATGAAAGTAAACATTCCGTTTTCACCCCTAACATTTCATTTTAATTTAAATACTTGCAAATCTACGTTTTGCAACCAGAATTCCTCATTTTTTCCGTTTACAAATGGAAAGAGTGTTCGCCCGTCGCGGCCCGCGGCCCCTAGCAATCCAATTTAAAAATTCTATTTGCCCCGGAGCATTGCAACGGCTGGTCAAACAAAGTTGGGTCGCTCCATCGCCCCTAGAATTATCTCATTAGCTATGTAAAACTAATGTTTACCAGGCCAAAAATTTGTTTAATATGTTGCGTTTTCTAAAGTAAATTTTGTTTTGATTTACTTAGATGTGAATTTACTTTAAGAAATGAAATGACATAACATAACATCACGCCTTTTACCCCCGAAGGCGTAGACAGAGATGCACATTCCGGCACTTAATACCACTGTACAAAGTAACACCCACTTTTCACTATTTATGTTATGAGTCCCATGAAATAGTGGTGAGCCTATTGCCATGTACCGGGCACATTTCCAGACTCCGTGCTACTACTGAGAGTTTTAAAAAACCCACTAATACTTTGCCCGACTCGGGATTCAAACCCGAGACCCCTTGCCCGGCAGTCGTACTTGCGAACACTCCGCCAACGAGGTAGTAGATGTATTTTTTACTGTTTAATTTAGTTACGTGTAACCACGGACTGTTTGAAGTTTGAAAATAATAATCTATATATATAAAAGAAAGTCGTGTTAGTTACACCACTTGTAACTCAAGAATGGAAGAATAGATTTGGCTGCAAAATTCGTAGGGAGGTAGCTTAGAGCCAAGAGACCGACATAGGATACTTTTTAACCAAAATTTTTTATGCTAGTTATGTATGAAATTATATTGACACAAATTCCTATGCCCATTTATCAATCATTGACTGCACGGTTATCGTGGTGGCCCGGAGGTTTAAGACGCCCACTTCTCATGCATGAGGGTGCGGGTTCGAAACCTACCAACGGCAAGTACCAATGTGACTTTTTCCGAGTTATATGTACTTTCTAAGATTATTTAGACACCACTGACAAACGGTGAAGGAAAAACATCGTGAGGAAACCTGGACTTATAATTTCTAATTATAAGTTTGAAATCGCCAACCCGCATTGAGCAAGCGTGGTGATTAATGCTCTAACCTTCTCCGTGTGAGAAGAGGCTTTGCTCAGCAGTGGGCATTTATAGGCTGTTGATGATGATGATGACTGCACGGTTGGCGCGGTGGCTGGGCAACCGGCTACCGCGCAACGTGCAGTAAGTTGGATTGCCACACGCAACAACTCTTTATGGGATCCACAAATTGTTGTTTCGGTTCTGAATGTCATATAACATATGTTTGTGAACGCACCCGTTTATTAGTAAACGCAGCCACGACACAAAAGAAAATCTTAATGTGGAAACGTGGAAATGTGGGGCAACATTTGAAAAAAATCCTTACTAATATTATAAATCGGAAAGTGAGTTTGTTTGTTTGTTTGTTTGTTTGTTCCACTTTCACGCCGTAACTACTAAACCGATTGCTTTGAATTTTTGCTGACGTAAAGTTATGAGTCCGGATTAAATAATAGGGTACTTTTTAACCCGGAAAATATTGATATTCCCGAGGAAAAACATAAATATTGGTATAGATGGCGCTGTATGTATTGGTATATGTCACATAGGCTACTTTTTATCCTTTTGTGACGCGAGCGAAGCCGCGGGTAAAAGCTAGTATATATATAAAGCATGAACATTTAGATGTCCTAAAGAGTCTTAAAGAGTTTACGTAACCACAGATACTACGTGCCTAGGTACTTAGGGCTCTTAAGTACATTACTAGTATATAAGCTCCTTTCCTTTTCTCAACAAACTTTTCAATAAAATGTTCCAACGATTGGTAAATGTTCTCAGCTATTGTGCCTACAATTGGGTCTAACAAAGGGTTGCAATGCGTACAGAAGTCTGTCTTGTGACAATAGTTCTGAGAATCCCTGTTATAGAAAATAGGAAGGTGGAATTTTCTTATATTTCCTTTAAGATTTATTGACTCTGGCTGGCTTAAATCAGTTAGACAATAGGGTAGTTGCCAGGGTATGAAAATTAAAAATCTAATCTGTCCATCAGTTGGATAATGAAAAAATATTAGACACATATTTTTTTAGTTTTCTCGTATAAAGTTACAATACTTAGATATAATGGAGTTAAGTTTAGGAGTGGGAGGTCGTTACGTCACAAAGTGCTACAAAATGTAGTGCATTGTGACGTCACACCATATTTCAGATTAATGTATCGTCGAAAGTATTTAATTTTGTGAGGAAAGAAAAAATATGTGTCTGTTGTTTTACATTTTTTTAAGTTTACGTGTACAGAAATAAAAACAGCCATTAAATGTATGAAGCGGGGAAAGTCTCCTGGGCATGATGGGCTCAGCATTGAGCATCTTCAAAATGCCGGTGTACACTTGCCAAGAGTATTGACCATGTTTTTAAATCTTTGTGTGGGCCATTCGCACCTTCCACAGGAGATGCTCGATACGTTGGTTGTACCTATTGTAAAAAACCGGACGGGAGACATAGCTGACAAAGGGAACTATAGGCCAATTTCATTGGCAACTGTAATAGCCAAAGTGTTTGATAGTGTGCTTGACGGGCACTTGAGTAACAGTACAAAACTACACGACACACAGTTCGGTTTTCGTGCGGGGCTGTCTACAGAGAGTGCAATATTAGCTTTAAAGCACACTGTCAAGTATTATACGGACAGAAGGACACCAGTGTACGCTTGTTTCCTAGATCTTTCCAAAGCTTTCGACCTAGTTTCATATAACGTGTTATGGGAGAAGCTTCGGGGGGCGGGAGTTCCGGCTGCATTGGTGTCAATATTATCTGTCTGGTATGAAAAGCAAAAGAACTTTGTGAAATGGTCCAATGCATTATCTGAGCCATATAAACTGAAATGTGGTGTAAGGCAGGGGGGTCTGACTTCCCCGAGAATATTTAATATCTATATGAACAGCTTGCTTGTTGAGCTCAGCAGCACGCATGTCGGTTGTCATTTAGACGGAGTAAATTTAAATAATTTAAGTTACGCAGACGATATGGTGCTGCTGAGCCCCACAATCGGGGGAATAAGAAAGTTACTAACTATATGTGAAAGATATGCTAAACAGCATGGGCTGAAGTATAATCCCACGAAAAGTGAGCTATTGGTATTTAAGGGAAAAAATAAAAGTCCTTCATATGTCCCACACGTAAAACTGAACGGATTACTTCTGAATAGGGTATCACAATTCAAATATCTGGGCCATATTGTGACAGAGGATTTAAAAGATGATCTAGATATGGAAAGGGAGCGCAGGGCGCTGGCTGTTAGGGGAAACATGTTGGCGCGCAGGTTTGCTGGTTGTTCAGCACCAGTTAAAATAACACTTTTTAAGGCGTTTTGTCAAATATTTTACACCAGCAGTCTGTGGGCTAATCATACTCAAAAGGCGGACAGCGCACTGCGCATTCAATATAATAACGCCTTCAGGACGCTGTTGAGGCTTCCACCTTACTGTAGTGCGTCAGGTATGTTCGCGGATGCGCACACTGATGATTATTTCGCGATCATGCGCAAAAAAGTGGCATCAGTGTTGCGCAGACTGAGGGAGAGCAGCAACGGCGTTCTGAGGGTGTTTGCAGAAAGGCTAGAAGGGCCTACAATAGATAGATTTATCAAGCTGCATGTCAGACGTGGGGCTTGATAATGCTTCTAGTAATAATCTGTTCTGTATTTGTATTTGTGTATGATTGTATTATTTTGTTATTGTATTTTTGTACTCGTGTGTTACTACTAACATAGTTTTTAAGTTTGTACTGTTTACTAACACTCTATGGGCCGTCGACGCCTGATAATAAAAGATTTTTATTTTATTATTTATTTATTTAATCTACCAGACGGACA